GAGACTTTATGAACATTCACATGAAAATGAGGCAAGATTAGAGACGTTGATCATCGGTATGATCTTTCTTAGCAAACACATGCATTTTTTTTTTTTTGCAATAAAACACATGCATAACTAATAATATATTTGATAAATATTCAATGGAGCAAGAATAGATCACCTCATTGGATAAATGAAGATGATAAGTAAGAATAACTTTTCTCTCACTTATAATGTGTACTTCCATCCCTTATTTTCTTTTACAATTGTTCATATTTCCCCTTATTTTCTTAACATTTTACAAATCCCTGTAAAAAACAAGTATTAATTACACTTAAAAAATAATTAAACTCTTTTTAATATATATGCTATATATTGACAATAAATGTGGCCATACAGAAAAATGCATATATTAGTATAAGTAATGAAATTTTTATTTCTAAACAAATACCAAACATAAATGAATTTTAGAAAACGAAGGTTCTACAAGTTGTAAAATTATACACTAACGCACCATATTAAGATCAAAATCCGTATGTGAGTATCTTGGATTGATATTCTAAAATAATATATAAACAACGACAATGAGTCTCAGTTAGTCCAAATTAAATTTCAGAAATTAGCAATTGATACATATTGTATAAGAGACTAAATACAAATAAGATCTTACAGTAAACTTCATGAACATCCAAAGTGTCAACTTTTAATTGGGATGAAGAAATTTATCCAATAATGAAGTATATGTACAAAGAAACTCTAACTAAGATGTCCTCATCTGAACAATGTGGATTCATATAAGATAGAAAAAATTGTACATGGGACGTGGTATACCTTTGTGACATGGTTTATGATTAGAGAAGTCAAACATTATAAGTGAATGTGCCAAGTATTGAGGATTTTCAATATATAGACACACCACATACTCACTTATTAATACAAAATATAATAAATTTAGAAGGTCTAAAATAGTTTAAACATATAGATAAATTGAATTAATGTCAACAATAAAATGAAACTCTCCGGCCAACGGGCCGGGTAAAAAGCTAGTTTTTGTATACAGGTTTTCATAAGTGTTCAATTATCTAATGTAGATTCATTTAGAGTGTTGAGTTTTATAAACTCTAAATGTAAGACATTATGCCTTGATTTTTAAACCAGAATATTCAAATTTATTATCTTATACAATATTTTTTAGCTCATTATTCTCAAAATTAGGAATAACTCTCAACCAAGGCTTATTGACCCCTTAGTATATCATTATATTTTTCACTGAAGATGTCTGATCTCTGGATAAATTTTGTTTGTGCGAATTACGGAAATTGACACATCATCAACTAAATTACACAAACAAAATTTAATGTACAAATTCTTAAAAACGGTGTAATATTTTGTATAAACTTAACAATGAAAACATATTCTGTGAATAATTAAAATGAAAGAAGAGTCCTTCCAAACATAAACGTAACTCTTCTCTTGTTTTTTATTATTATTTCCAGCCGTGTTATGTTAGTTGATTATTAGGATTAGGGGATGGCAGCATATTTTTTTTTTGTTAGTTGTTTTCTGTTATCAATATTATTTTTTATTTTCAATAATTAAGATGATAAAACTATCCTTTCTACCATCACTCAGGAGGCTAAAAGTTCTAAAGTAATGATGTTGTGATGGAGAACCAACATATAATAGTGGTAGGATAACGTAAAATCCAACTGCTCATCTCAACTATTAAATAACTTGAATAAGCACATGGAGGTTGGAATGATATTAATCGTGTTCTTTTGTTAAAGTTTTGTTGTTTGTATTTTCTTACACGAATTTCACCAACAATTTTATCACTTTTTGACCAGTTATGAATTTTAAGAATCGGATCTAATATATCTCATTCGTTTTAGTTTGAATTAAAAAATTATATAGAAACTACATTAATTATGATCTATACAATAATATTCATTTTAGAAGAAGAAAAAAAAGAGTTGAAATGCAACTAATAATCCTAAAAATGTATGAGGTCAATTAAATTTTTATCGACTTTGGGGAACACAATTTAATTTGATAAAATAGTTAACTATCACCGACCGTGGGAAAGTGGCATTCTAATGTCATTTTCATTTTATTGATCTAAATCAGAGGGGGAATTATTATTTAGCTTTGTTTGAGATTAAGAAAACAAGGTCACACTTGAAGCTGGAGCTGATAGTTACGGTTACAGGAAGAGATTATTAGTTAATCCATATAATCTTGGGTGCTAAACAAAGTAATTGAATGGTAACCAAAGAAATGCTGAACGAGTCATGGCCTCCGTCCATCCATGGATATGCAAAGTGGCATGCCCCTCCCTCATCATTCTCTCGTCAACTCACCCTAGTCTCTGGAAGTTGGTACCGGTATTTGGAATATATCGAATAACGTATCGCATTTATCAATATTTGGTATTATCGAATATCGGCTTATTTTTATGGATTGGGACTAACATTCATTTTGGAGTGCTATTTGGAATTACGGAATTGAATCGATATACCGAAATACCAAGAAATACTTAAAGTTAAAAATGAATGAATATAGCACAAAACCTTTGGTCATTCCTCACTCTTTCACAACTTAGAAGCCCCCATTCAACCCAATTTTGACTTTTCAGATTAAGTCACTCTCGTTTTTCACCTAATCTCTTGTAATTTTCATAACACCAAAAAGCAAACACTAGTATTAGTCGTTAGGGCTGGAAGTTTGGTACCGGTATTTGGTATATACCAATAACGTACCAAATTTGTCAATATTTGGTATTATCGAATATACGTAGTATTTCTTGGGATTGAGATTGGGATTCAATTTCAATTGTTATTTGGGATTAGGGATTACAAGATTGAGATCGGTATATACCGAAATACCGAACAATACCAAAATATAATCTTGTGTGTATTTTATCCTCTCGACTAGTCTTTCTCATTCACTACTACACGACCATCAACCACAAATCTCTTGTTATTTTTATAACACCAAAAAGCAAACACTAGTATTAGCCGTCTCTCAACCTCCAATTCGTCAAATTATAGATTACCAATGACAAAAACTTGACATGTCACATCTCCTCCATTCTCCTTATCTATATCATAGCACTAGCCACACTCAAGACTCTTTGCTCCGTCTCTTTGTCCTATATTAAACAATCAAATCTAATTTATATATTTAATTATTAATTGCAAAGGTAATTAATTTTGTATTCTATAATACCGATTGGGATACCGAAGTACCGATTGGGATACTGAAATTATTTAGAAATTGGGATTGAGATTGACTTTAGAGTGTAATTCGGTATTCGGGATTTCGGTATTTGGTATTAGGATACCGATACCGTACCAATTTCCACTCCCTATTAGTCGTCTCTCAGCCTCCAATTCGTTAAACTAAAGATTAACAATGACAAAATTTTGAGATGTCACCTCTCCTCCATTCTCCTTATCCGTATTCTAGCTCTAGGAAAACTCAAGACTCTTTGTTTAGTCTCTTTACCCTAAATTAAACAATCAAATCTAATTTATATATGTAACTATTAATTGCAAATGTAGTTAATTTATATTCGATCATACCAATTGGATACCAAAGTACCGATTGAGATACCGAAATATTTAGGGATTGGGATACCAAAATTATTTAGGGATTAAGATTGAAATTGATTTTAGAGTGTAATTCAATATTCGGGATTTTGTTGTACCGATGCCGTACCGATTTCCACTCATATTCCCTCCATGCCTATATAGCCAAAATTAGAAGGAAAAGTAAAGATAGCTTCACTATTTCATAGCTTGATAACTAGAGGTCATTAGAGTAGAGTTTTTTTCTTTCTTTTTCTATAGGGGTCATTAGAATAGAGTTACATCATAGTAACTAATAGTATTTTTTTAATTTAATTTAGGTTTAAATAATAAAAATAGAAAATAAAGTTTTCTTAAATTAAAATTACAAAATAATAAGAATCATATTTCATTTTCAAAATAAAATTTGGCAGAATCTTCGAATACAAGTTTATGCTTTATGTTTTACAAAATTATTTTTCAGACTTTTTCGAATACCAAACTTGTAAAATTGTTTAATCTGACTTCAACTTTTATAATAGAAATCACTTTTAAACTCAGGTAAAAACATAGGTGCTACTAATCTGCCAAGGCTTGAGCCCATTAGCACGGTAACCAAGTTGGGCCAACAATCTCCATAAATTGTCTAGAAATCAACGGCGAACACTTCTACTATGCTATATAGTATATAACATTGGTTGTACCATAACATTAAATGTATAAGTTTAGGTTGTACCATAAAGGAATTTGTATCATTTTGTTATGGTACAACTTTACAACATGAAGTTGAACCATCACCTAAAGTACAAGTTTAAATTGTACCATAAAAGAATTTGTACAAAAAGTATAAGTACAATCTGAAGTTGTACCATAACGTTAAAGGTACAATTTCAAGTTGTACCATAAAGGCAAAAACCTATAGCACCTAGGGGTGTCCATTCGGTTTCGGTTTTTTGGGTTTACCCGAAACCGACCCGATTATATACATTTTTTATTTTTCGGGTTCGAGATCGTTTTGGGTTTGGGTTTTGCTTATCGGTTTTTTGGGTTCCGGCTAAAAACTTCCAATGAATAGAACTCAGCCCGTATTCTTAGGCGTTCGAGTTTTCGGGTTTCGCTTTTGCTTTAACCGAACCCGCAAGTCCTTATCGGGTTCGGGTTCGGTTTTAGTGATTTTTGGTTTTGAAATTTTGGGTTTTTCGAGTTTCGATTCAGGTATCTGAACCCGACCCGAACTAACACCCCTAATAACACTAATACTATATAGCATTGTAAAATTCCTCAACCAACTGCTTGTATTTGTAGATTTGTCGTTTGGAGGATTTCATAGAATGGATAAAAAGAAGAAACAAAGAATAAAGAGGAAATAAAGGGAGAGCCCTCTCTCTAGTCTCTCCTGCATATCTGTCCCTCCGTCTCTTTGTCTGACTCAATCCGCCAGTTTCTCGCAACAAGGGAAGGGAAAGGGACGCAGCAGCAGCCCACAACACACAGAGTCCTAAAACAAACGATCAAACAGTCTTCTCTTCTCTTTCCCCTTCCTTCCTTCCACAAATCAATAAAAACCCCTCCCCATTTCTCTCCCAAACACCATTCCCTCTCTTCCCCATCTTCGAATACCTCTCCTCTGCGGCAATCTCTCATTTACTTGACTTTCTCCACCCACCCAACTGTCTATACAAATCTTCCACTCCCCACCAGCTCCCATTTCCCCCAAAACCTATTCCTCCCTCGATCAAACAAGACCCAAGATCCCTTTCCGGTTATAACAGGGTGGGGTCGTCGTTTTCGTGGGAGGCTCGGTTCGGGCCCGGAAATGGCAACTGGGTGGTCTTTCTTGGTGCTTCGTTTGTTGCCAGTTCTAGCGCTGCTTTTTGGATCGCGCATCCACGAAGCGACGGCGTTTCGAGGGGTGGTAGCCAGGACGACGCAGGGGCCGGGGGAGAAGCAGCAACAAGTGGAGCTACAGAAATGGCCCAAGCATAGGAACGCGTATGCGACGATGATGTACATGGGGACTCCCCGAGACTACGAGTTCTACGTCGCTACTCGAGTTCTGCTCAGATCCCTCGCTGCTCTCCGGGTTGATGCCGATCTCGTCGTCATTGCCTCCCTCGACGTCCCTCTGCGCTGGGTCCGGGCCATGTAAGTCCTTCTCTCACTCCCCCCCTTCCCCCGTCTTGCTCTCTGTTTTTCTTTTTTCTCCCGGCCGACGGCGCAAGTTTGCCCGCTCGCTTGCTTGCCAGAATGGACGAATAATAGCATTGATTAGAGAGGCCCGGTGGAAGTGCTCTGCCGCAGGGGCACCCACCATGTGTTTGATTAATTTCCTGAATGAATCTTTTTCTGCTTCCAAAAGACAGATTTGCCTTTTCATTTCAACAATTGGGGCTGGGGAAGATATTTTTGGCCACTCTTGACTTTTTATTAGACTTTACTGACCATTTGGGATTTCAAAAGATCTTTAGCTAAACGTTTATGATTAATTGCAGTGTTTAACGTAACATCTTGGACCCTACAGAAAATACAAGTAATTATTCCAAGTCTAGGATTGAGCTTCCTAATTTTGGCCCTGTCTGATTGGGTTACTATTTAGTTTGCTGATTCTGATAATGGTATCCTCATCCTGATTATGATTATGCTTAAGCTATAGTTTTGGGTTTAGGGAGGGGAATATGATTTCTAATTTTTAAGGACAAAATATAAAAAGAAAAATGCCCTTAATTACAAGAGCATGTGAGAGGGTCGGCCAACGGGGCTTCTTTCTGAATGGTTGAGTCCACGTGGCAGGTCTTGATTTGGTCAACGGTTTTATTCCGTCCCTCGCTAAAACCCTCCTTTTCCCGCTCCGTTGAGGAAAAAAGTCAAAAACCAAAGGGCGCTTGCCGCGTTTTCTTTGGCATTCTATTTTCCACACCATTTTGAAACCGTCTTTACTTGTTCAAAATACTCGTCCTGTGTCCACCTTATTATTGAGTGGACGTTCATTTTAACAATAAGGGCTTACCTTAAATTTAAGTATTTTTGTTTTTGTTGTGAAAGAGACAATAATATAATATATACATTTTACGTAAATTGTGACAATTTTATGTTTTGATGACAAATAAGTTTTTTATTTTTTATAATTTGGTAGACATCCAGTGTCCTTGATATGGTCGGATTTGATGATGTTTGGAGTGTGGAACTTGTAAAATAAACCTCTTCCCAATTTCTTGGGAACTGTTTCTTTTCGATACTTTGTTCTTGGTCATGGGATGGAAAAAAATTAAAAAAACTCCCAATGTTTTGTGTACTCTTTTCCCCCATTCCTTGGTTTTGTCCATTTGAAGTCCCACTAGGCACGTGAGTACAGGATATCCATCGTTCTTTGAACTCTTGTGTTGTAATACATGGGTTGGAGAAGACGAAAGAAACGTTGTTCTGAGGGCTCTGTTTCCTTCTTGTTATCGTTACTTGAACCTTTTTCTTTTCGTCTCTTAAGCAAGTAAACATGATCCTTGTTGATAGTACTGAACTGTATTGCTTTCCAGGGCAAAAAAGTTGAAATCTTTTACAACAAAGGAAAGGACTTCCATGATTGATCGCCTCTTTAGTGATAGATTAGTGTCCAGATAAACATAGCTTTAGGCTGGTGTAATTTAGACGGAAAAGCTCTGTTCTATTCATGCTGTGGATTAGCCCACTTATGTGTTAGTGGGGCAAAGGTGAATTTTCAGGAAGTTGCCTCGACACTTTCTTATGTTTTTGGAGCATTAAGCACCTTGTCAAAACTTATCCTTTACTTTCTCATCCGTCTCTTTACCTTCTTTCTTTGTTGCAACAGTTAACACTCAAAATTGCAATGGCAAAGTAAGTTTTTGTCTCGACATTTTCTGAGAGTAATCTCTGTTATATTACTATTTTGACTGCACCGAACCTAGCTATAACTCCAAACTTTAATGCATCAGTAGTATTGAAATACGAGAACTCTTGAAAGTAATCACTATGTTGCAAACTTGCACCTCTTTAATTCATCACCAAAAAAAAAAAAAAAAAAAAAATTTTGATTGGTTACCTTAAAGTGTGTCGAGCTGGAGCTCCCTTCTTTTATAGTAATTTCATGTAATTAGGTAGAGCCATCTATCAGCTACACATCCCACGTTCCACTTGAATTTTGGGTCACTCTGTCTCTGACAAAGACATACATTAGTTTAGTGGGCGGATGTTTAGGATAATAGTCTTTCACAGTGCCAGTCTACTAAATTAATACACGGTACCTCAGTTGCACCACACATTTGGAGATTTCTAATTTAGTCTAAATCTAGCTAGCTACCCACAAATTATGTTTCTAACGCGTATCTATCTATTGCAATCTAAAGCGTGATTACCAAACCCACCAACCAACTCAAAATGCGGTAAGAGTAAAAGTAGAGAAAAATGTTGATCATTAGATGAATGCATTTTGGAATCATTAGTCAACCCAATCCTGACAGAGTTCAGAAATTTCCCTCCTTTGTTTTCTTTCTAAGTTCTTGGGTTAGTTGATCAGTTGGCGGGCATGTGGGAGTTGCATGTTTTTAATGACAAGTCCTGTTATTGTTGTTTTCTTTGAAAAGATTTTTATGCTGTTTTAATTATATGGAGATTTAGCAGCATTTTTCCTTCCTTTATTCAAGTAACTTGCTATGGGTTCAGACTTGAGAGCTCAGCTAACCCATGTGCTTCTGCGGGAGACCTGCTAAATGTGCAGACCAGCAAATCTGTTCACTTTACTAACGGAAATAAAGGGAAATTAGGAATCTGTTGTGTTTATGCTGACAATTCATCATCAATGCCTTTACTACTAAATGTACAGCCTATACTGTAGGGGTGACATTGCCAATGGCTGGTTTGGATTGAAACCGAACCAGTCTGATGTAGGATGGTGATACTTAAGATAAGAGAAAAGGATAAAAACTAATTGAATGATGCATTTGATTCAATCTAGTTTGATCTTGAATAATATAGAAAATAATATCTTAAGTTCATGGATCGAAACAGAACCCAGTTTCGTTACGACTGGATCAAGTTTGAGCCAAAAGTCAATAAGCTAAGGCGTCAGCAGTCTATGAATCCTGTTAATTGTTCTGCTAAATCAATACCAACTCTAAATGATTCTGATTGATTCTTGGTTCCTGGTTATGTTGACTGGTAGTAATAAATCTCAAAGTTGCTTCCAGTAGCAACTATAGAAATCTAGGCTGACTAATTGTGACGTTTTTCCTTTGTGATCTTAGGGAACTTGAGGACGGAGCAAGAGTTGTAAGAGTGGAGAACGTGAACAACCCATACAAGGACCAAAAGAACTTCGACAAGAGATTCAAGCTTACACTAAACAAGCTCTACGCATGGAGCCTGGTGGACTACGACCGTGTAGTCATGCTGGACGCCGACAACATGTTCCTCCGCAACTCCGACGAGCTGTTCCAGTGCGGCCAGTTCTGCGCGGTTTTCATCAACCCCTGCATCTTCCACACGGGTCTCTTCGTCTTGCAGCCATCGGATGTAATTTTCAAAGACATGCTTCATCAGGTGGACGTGGGGAAAGATAACCCTGATGGGGCAGACCAAGGCTTCATCGGCGGATACTTCCCTGACTTGCTGGACAAGCCACTGTTCCACCCTCCTGCCAATGGGTCAGCCGTCAATGGGTCGTATAGGCTTCCTCTTGGTTATCAAATGGACGCCTCTTACTACTGTGAGTAACAGAAAAAAACAACAAACTCTCGAAAAAAGATTGCGACTTTTAATCTGCTGAAGTATTCTGAACAATTGTTTGTTTGTTTAACTGTTCAGATCTCAGATTGAGGTGGAACGTCCCATGCGGGCCTAACAGCGTCATTACTTTCCCTGGTGCGCCATGGTTGAAGCCATGGTACTGGTGGTCGTGGCCCGTTCTGCCTCTAGGCATTCAGTGGCACGAGCAGCGCCGTCAGCATCTTGGGTAAGCCATTTGTTACATTGTAGAAACTTCTTATACATGGAATGAGTACTAAACATGGGGACTATATGCTAACTTGTAAAAAACAACATTGTCATTGGTGAGCAGATACGGACCAGAGATGCCAATGGTGGTGATCCAATCTATCCTCTACCTTGGCATAATAGCAGTCACCCGTCTCGCAAGGCCAAGCCTGACCAAGCTATGCAACCGCAGAACCGGCGACAGAAACATCTCTCTACTCCAATCCACCCTCAAGCTCATCTCTTTGTGGGCGATCCTCGCAGCCTACATAGTCCCATTCTTCATCATCCCCTGCACTCTTCACCCAGTGCTAGGATGGTCTCTCTACTTGCTGGGAACATTCGCTCTCTGCTCCATCGCCATCAACGCCTTCATGCTGCCGACGCTCCACGTCCTGATGCCGTGGATGGGGATCTCGGGGGTCCTGTTGGTGATGGCGTTCCCTTACTACCCAGATGGTGTCGTCAGAGCTCTGTCAGTTTTCGGGTACGCCTTCTGCGCCGCGCCTTTGCTCTGGGTTTCGTTGAGTAAGGTCATGGGTAGCCTCCATCTCTCGCTTGAGAGGGAAGCTCTGTTTACTAAGCTCGGGGAGTCTTCTTCCCCGCCTTCAGGGTTGAATAAGCTTTGTTAAAGAGGACGGGTTCGTCATACTTGTTCTGAACTCGCCTCTGCAATTCTTTGATTGCTGTCGGGGGGACTTGCGAAAAGCTAATTACGTACTGGGAGATGATAGTAGTGTTATTCATAGAGGGAGGAGACTACGTTTCTCGTGTAATACCGTTCTTTGTAAAGCTCTGCCTGGTTTTGTAACGACTGTTGTTGTTTATCATCACTGTTGTAACTTCATTCTATAGTGGTAGAAAAAAGGGAAGGAGTGGCTGATTGCAGACACTTGTCGTTTTTTTTCTTCTTCCTTTCTTTGCTTGTGTACAGTCTCATTCTTATACATTTGTACATTTATAAACTGAAATAAGCAAAAGAAAGCAAGAATTACATGATGGGAGCAGAAGTGCTAAGCATTTGTGTTACAATTATGCTAATCTGCTATCTGGTTGGACCCCGTTTAGTATAGTTTGATATAGTTGTGGTTGTAATATTGTTGTGATAATAGAGGTATAACCAGAAGTCAACCCCATAAAAATGAAGAAGAGAAACACATTTAGTTCGTAATTCTAAACATTTATAAACGTTGACAATTTTCTATTTTTAGTTACTTCATTGGGCCTTGTTTAGTATTAATGTTGAGGCGGAGACAAAAGCAGGGGAGGGGAAATATGTATAGAGTGAGTCTAATGGGATTTGATAATAGACTCATCTGAATGAAATTATTAGAGCAACTGATAATATCCCACAAGAAACGGCTTTTGGAAACAAGAAAGCTATTTAAAGTTTTTTTGTCAATAAACTTTTTTGGCTAAATTGTAAGTTTGGTCACTTAAATCACTAGTAAAGTTCACGTTAGCCACTAGAATTACTTTATTTCATCCGTAGTCACTTAAATTAGGTTAACAGTTCAAGTTTGTTCACTGGCCGTTAGTCTCCGTTAACTTTTGCTGATGTAACGGTCAACTCTTATAGTTGATCATTGAATGAGTGACGTGACAATTAAGGAGTTGTGTACTTGCTCAAAGATGTGAGTGAAACAAGCTGGTGGTGCGATGTTCATCCTCCAGCTCTGGGCATGGGAGCATCTTCCAATGTTCGCATCTCAAGACCCGCGTCCATTCTGGAGACAAGATGAGGAGCTGCTAGTCGTGCCAAATCTCTCCTATGGTGCAGGTATTCTTCCCATGCCACACCTCTTGCAAAACTACCTTCTCCATAGTTGCTTGAACTACCACACAATCCGTACCCTCCTGTATAACCACCTTATTCGTAGTTGCTTGAACTACCACTCCATCCGTACCCTCCTTGCAAAACCATCATCATAAGAATAATGGTGACTTGGTGAGAATGAGTTTCACTGACCGCCTCGGTCTCAACATAAACCTCTGCAAGCCGCATCCCGCTATTGCTTAGGAACTGTAACATCATGGTATTAGTGTCATCGTCGTTTATGACAACTTCTTGGTACACAAGTAACACAACCCCGCTAGCACTCATGTCTGGATACCGGTAAGTAGTTTTACCAACTCCCGTCTATCAGCCCGTACAAACTTTTTCTGCACAAATGTCACGGAGTTCTTGCCACGTGAATCTCGACTCAATTTTCAACATAGTGGTAAGTGGATTCACCGTCTTCATAATCAATCACAGTGTCAGAGTTTGTCACCCTACCATTCCACCAAATAATAAGCTGAAACTTATTGAATTTACCCATATCTGCAATTTATAATAAGTAACTGTTAGGTTAAGTCCACTAAAATTAACCAAAACCATATTTTACGGCTACGAAAATAATATTACTCCATCTCATAAACAAACGCAATTAACTAATCGAAACATGAATCAAAACTAGCATTACAAAAATATGAGTATGGTAAACAAATTCATCTAAATTCATAACATAACATATTTGCCACGAACAGTAATTCATTACATGCATACATACATATAACTACTAAAACATCATTATATAAATAATACAAAATTAAATCATAATGAAAAATTGCTTTTGTTATCGTAGTTACTGGGATTTTTGCTTAAATTTGACAGAGGAGGGGGAGAGTATTTTTCCAACTGCTCGTGGGTAGGGATGGCAATAAAACCCATGGCCGCGGGTATCCGACCGCCCCCGACCCAGTCAACGCGGGGAATCCCCGCTTTGACCGGGTATGGGGCGAGTATGGGTAAAACCCGCAAAAAGTTTGATGGGTATGGGGCGGGTATGGTTTTGACCTCCCCCGCCCCATACCCATACCCATACCCATACCCATACCCGCCCCACCAAGAGAATTTCTTCACATATAAAAAAATATGTGGATTAAATTGTAATCTATCAATGGTGATGAGGATAACTCAAGGAAATAAATAGTAGAAATGCAATTGAGTGACCATTTTAATCAAAATCAAATTCATTTCCCTCAATTCTCCTTTCACTCTTTCACTTTTCCCCTTGTCTACAAGATTATGTTAGTTAATTATTACTTAGTAGATGTATAAGAGTTAGAAGATAATAATTTGAAAAATATGATACTCTATATTATGTATTAATGGATGTTTTAGGATCATATACTTTGAACCGTATTAAGAAAATGATCGTGTTTTGTTAACTTCATGATATAATAGGTTCGTTTAGAGTAATAATTAAAACTTTTCTTGTAAATTTTAGGTATAATAATGTTGGATATATGGGTACGGGTATTACCCATGGGTACCCGAAACCCACGGGCATGGGGATGGGTTTGCAAAACATTCCCCCGCATGGGTATGGGGCGGGTATGGGTTTGGGTATTTGAAGATGGGGATGGGGATGGTTTAGACAAACCCGCCCCATTGCCATCCCTACTCGTGGGAAGGGTATTTATTTGACAATCAGGGAACATTCACCGCCGTTGTCGACAGCGGTGAAGCTAATCACCTCGTTGCCCTAAGACGGTGAACGTTAGGTGGTTGTGACCTAATTTTCACCTACCAGGTCTGGGAAACGTGAAAAACAATCGCCGTCGTAACCTAGCGCTGTGAACTCTTTCCCCACTTTACTCGAAGACGGTGAAGCAATCACCGCTGTAAACGAACGCAGCGAAGTTTTCACCGTTTTAGTTAAACGCGATGTGGCTTCACCATTTTTGAGCAAATCAGTGATAGTATTCACTGCCTTAGTCAAAGGCGGTAAATGTCAAACATGTATTTTGGGAAATTTTTTATAGCTAACGTATTTTTGGAATTGTTTTTATTAACTAGTGTATTTTGGGACTTTTTCACAAGTGAGAGGGTATCATTGCCAACAGAGCTAGATTATGACTCTGCACACAAGTTTCTAGCCAAGAGTTTTGTCAATGGGAGACACTCGCATCCACCTGATGCTTTACTTGCTCTAGAAGTCATTCTTCTTCCTTCCTGTCTATCTGTAGCACGCGATTCATTCATTCTTTCGAAGTTCACACTCAATCAAGTCTTACAAATCATACTCTCAAACGCGGAAGACCGGTATTAAGAGGAACATACAAAAGAGAAGTTTTGTGTTATACAGAGTTCTTGTGGTTTGCTTGCTTTACATGTGGTTTCTTGAGATTGTTGATACAGAACACTGAAGATCGCATTGCTGACAACTGAATCAATCACGTTCCTTTGTGTGTTTTCGTATTGTACGGTGCCAGACCAGGCTGCCTTGTCTAGATGAATGTTTCACTTAAAAGTAATAAAGAGTTGAACAAGATGTGAAGATGTTCTGCAAAATAAGCAAAGGTGTCTGTCTTCCTTCACATTACGCTACAGTTTTGCTGGGACTCGAGCATCTCCGGTGTTCTGCAAAATAAAAGAAGGCGAAGAAAAAGGGCATCTCTTAAGACGCATATCATGACATTGCAAAATGAATAACTTATCTTAGGTAGAAGAGCGTTTTAAGCACTTACATTTGACCAAGGCTAGCCAAATCAAGATCAGGAGCGAGTTCCCGGACGATTTCATCAGGTGGCTGTCCACACTCTTGCATCTTTTGCATGAGATCGGTAATCTTGGTGTAGTTATTGGGGTCGTTCTCATAAACCTGGTTCAGAACTTTTATGAGTTCATACTGTTGGGAGTAACGTTCGTATTCTGTCGTGCTCAAACTAGTTTCATGGTCCTTTAACCATGTTGGATATCTCCCTTCGATTTCCTTCATGGGTTCATGAAGAATCTCCTTTGACAGCAGCTGCTGCATCATGGACTCCACCAGAGATTCCATGTCCTAATCATGGGAGGAGGAGAAAAGATAAACAAAGTAAGATTATGAAGGCCGGACATCACTACATTAGGCACAAACAGAAGAAGTGTTCCAGATAATCATAGACAAAGAGCGAAGACTTGAAGACGTCAGAAACATATATAGAAACAGTATGGCCTAGTTAAGTTTAGAAATCTTTCCTCAAAACGTGTAAAATCTAACTCTTCTGCTCCCAAAATCTATTACATCTCAAGGAATTATTCCCCCTTCCAAATTTCACGTAACCTTTCCAGCTCAAGAAGACATGCATCTCAGCTTCTTAAATCACAAGAAAACCCATTCTAGGTATCAGAATTCAGAACTGGAAACTGAATAGATTCCTGTATATTGGAATTAAACTAACTGCTGGGTGAAGTTAATCCGTGACAATAATTCACAACTGAGGTTGCAGAGTTTGCAAATGAAGCAAACAGGAAGAAGATAGGATTAGTCACACAATACATAGGTAAAACATTGGACAATGATAAGACGTGACCATACATTATTGATTCCAAAAATGGAGGAGAGTTGGCTCGAAAGAAACACGAGGATGAATAATAACAATGAGATCAAAATGATAGTCTGAAGTCTGAACTGCTAGATTGTCCTTCCCCATACGTCTGTCCTACCTAAGAATAATTCACAACCGAGTTCCTAGGCAAGCACACATCCATGAATTTCAGCAGACATCATATAACATCCAACTTTTAACTACACAGGCCATTGACAAAGAAAGCGAACCTCATTTTCCATCCTTACTTGGCCAAGAGACTTATCAAAGTGAATATACATTCTATGAGCAGTTTCAGACTCAAATGTCACAGAGTCTAGACTATCAAGAAGATTCCAAATATTAGCTCACATCAATAGCAAAAAAACAACTGCTAGTTACTAGGAGACCCTCCCTGTCAGTAGACAAACCAAATATCAAACTCAACAAGTCAATGACCACTTAGGAAATTGAATTTTGTTAATACTAATGGCCTCCATTCCCAAATAACGATCTACACATGAGAACCAAGACATAATCATGAAGCAGTTGACTGAGTTCTCACCAGCCCTCACAACTCAAAGTTCACAACACACACTCGCATTAGAGAGAGAAAAGATTGAAACTTCACCTGATTAGAGGCGAGCTCCTCGAACTGCTTAACCCAATCCTCCATTGCAACATCCTTATTTTCATCACCTCTTGAAGTGGTAGTAACAGACTCCATTCCTTTCACAGCCTCCTTGGTCTGCTCCCTAAGTTTGTCAAGCGCCTCCGCCACATGACCAGTAGAAGAATCCCCCGCCGCCTTCTGTTTCCCTTTCTTCTTGCCCTTCTTCAAGTCGGGCAATCCCATCCCCAAACCCTGAACCCCAGCTGGCAAATCACCAAACCCTTCAACCTTCATCTTCTCTTCATCGCCACCACCACTTCTGCATTACCAATTACATCTTTCTCTAAACTAACATGCCTAAAAATTAACAAAAGGAGCAGCACAAATGGAAAAGGAAGAATCGGAACCGCTGTTGTGAGGCTGGAGCCGCAAAATTGAGACTCTGGAAATCATCGAGAGCACCTGCAGTGAAACATAAACCCAAAATGGTCGGAACTTGAGATGAGAAATCGCAGAGCAAAGGAGGAGGGCAAGTGGGTATTACTGTCGAGCAGCTGGTCTAAGTCGTCGTGATTGCGGGTCTCCGCCATTTTCACAGCCGTATGATATTCTGCCTGAGAAAGGGAGATATAGAGAGAGGTCGAGAGGAAGGTATATAATGGGAGAAGGGAAGTATGAAATTCGTTGCCTTGTGGCGAAGCATTCAAAGGGGGCGAAGTAATTCCAGGACGGAGGAGTATTGGGCGAGCGACGTAGACGATGGATGATTTAATTCTCAGCTTGGATTTTTTTTTTTACTGTGAATTTTGTTGAAACGCCTTTCTATTGGTCATTAGGTGACTGAGACGGTGAAGAATTTTTTTGACAATGGCGATCTTCCTCCCGAGCTTAATCACACACTCATCATTCTTATACCTAAGGTGAAATCTCCTAATACTGCCAAAGATTTTAGACCTATTAGTCTTTGCAGAGTGATCTATAAAATTATTTCTAAAGTCCTGGCTAATAGACTAAAGTTGATTTTGGATTATATTATTTCGGAAGAACAAAGTGCCTTTGTCCCAGGAGGGTTCATCACGGATAATGTTATTGTTGCGTTTGAATGTTTTCGGTATATGAAGAGAAGGGAGAAGGCGAATGATGGTTTCCTTGCGGCCAAACTGGATATGGCCAAGGCCTACAACCGTGTTGAATGGGATTTCTTGGAAAAAGTTATGAAAAAGCTTGGCTTTGAGGAAAGATGAGTTGGACTTATAATGAAGTGTGTCTCCTCTGTCTCTTACTCTATCCTAGTGAATGGGCATAAATCAGAAACTTTTTCACCCTCAAGGGGTCTTAGGCAGGGAGACCCGCTATCTCCCTATTTATTTCTGTTGTGCGCTGAAGGTCTTACTGCTCTTATTAAGAAAGTTGAGGAGGAGAGGAGTCTTTTTTTTTTGACAAAAGATAATCATATATTGAATCAAAAGAAGATAGTTACATCCTGGATCGAAGCCAGGCCTGAAAATCAAACAAACGACAAGCAGCCGGATACAAATTAAGGGCCTTTCTAGCCACCGAATGGGCTACCCTATTGCTATCCCGACCTACAAACCGTATACTAAAACCCGCCGATCCCCTCAAACAGTGCACAATATCTCCCAGAACCACCCCAATCCTGTTGTCCCTGGTCACGCCTTGATTAACTTTGTCAATAATTATCTTGGCATCGCCTTCAAACAAAATATTTTGGAGACCAAGGCGTACACACCAGAAAAGAGCTTCCCTGAGAGCAAGAGCTTCAGCTACCAAAGGATCATCAATTGCAGGGAACTGGCAACCATGAGCCAAACACAACCCATGGCGGTCATCAAGCAAAACTATAATATCACTCGAGTGAGACCCTGCCCGGGTAGCCCCGTCCCACTTACAGATCATCATAGGCTCCAACGCCAGAGGATTAGTTAGGGGCTCCACTTGCGGTCTAACCTGCGGTATCCTGGTACCTATCGCATTCTCCCATTCCTCACACTGCTGATGATACTGGCGCATCAAAGCCGGGAAACCAAACTGCTTGCCTTCAAAGACAACCCAGTTCCGAGATTTCCAAATCCGCCAGAGAATGCCAACTACAGACATAACCCCCGAGGGCTGCTGGATAATGTTTAACAGTCTCTTGAGGAAGAGCGGAAAAGTATGACGGGGTAATCCTTGCCCCATATGCTCCATCCCCGAGTAGTCCCACAAGGCCCCGAGGAGGAGAGGAGTCTACATGGAATTCAAATGAAAAAGAAAGCCCCAACTATCTCACACCTACTATTTGCAGATGACTGTGTTATTTTCGGGAAAGCTGTGCTAAAGGAATGTGATCAGCTGAAAGAAATCTTGAAAATCTATGCTAGTGAATCGGGGCAGCTGGTAAATTTCTCTAAATCTGAAATATCTTTTAGTAAAAATGTAAGGATTAGCCGAAGACTGGAGATTTGTGGAACTCTAGGCATTAAAGAAGTGGAAAAGCTGCCTAAATACCTTGGCCGGCCCACTGTTGTGGGAAGGTCCAAGAAGGCCATTTTTGAGGAGGTAAAGTAGAGGGTCCGAAAGAAGCTAAAAGATTGGAAAAGCAGAACTATGTCTGCAGCAGGCAAGGAGATTATGATTAAAGCGATAGCCCAGGCTCAATGCCTCTATCCTATGTCCGTTTTTCATATCCAGGAGGGTACCCTGAATGAAATTCAAAGACTGATCTCGAACTTTTGGTGGGGCAGAAAGGAAAAGAATCTAAGATACATTGGTTGGATTGGGATGATCTCTGTGATGACAAAGAGGAGGGGGACATGGGTTTTCGAGACTTGAGATCATTCAATTATGCGATGTTGGGTAAACAAATTTGGAATGTGCTTACTAGACCTCAATCTCTCATGGCAAGAGTTTTGATGGCTCGCTACTTCCCTAAGACTGATATTCTGCAGGCCAAACTTGGTTTTCAACCAAGCTACATCTGGAAAAGTATTATTGTGGCAAAGGAGAAGATCGAGGAAGGGTTCAGGTGGAGAGTTGGAAATAGAGAATTGATCTACATCTGGAAGGATGAATGGATCCCTGGTAGGAGCTTCTACTAGGCTGACCTTATTCCTACGGGGGAGATCACTGAGGGTCTTGTGTGCAACCTCATCGATTTTGGATCAGGGGGGATGGGATATAGAAAAACTTAAAAACCTCTTCTCTATCAATGATCAGAACCTCATCTCTAAGATCCCCCTAAAAAAACCTCTTGGCCACGATTCTAGGGTTTGGAAGGCTGAGGAATATGAGGCTTATTCGGTGAAATCAACATATTATTTCATTAGGAGAAATCAGAACAAGTATCTGGCTCAATCCCACAACAAGAATCCGGAGGACTCTGAGGTTTGGAAACTCCTATGGAAGCTTATTGTTCGACCTAAAGGTCGTGTCTATCTTCGGATTTGCGGAGGAATCTTACCTGTAGGCGCCCATATTGAAGAGTGGATCGATAATGCTGCACCAGAGTGTCATTTCTGCAACCTCCAGGAGTCCCAAATGCATGCTCTCCACGATTGTGACTGGATAAGGAGGCGGTGGAAAGTCTGCTAGGAAAAGGATCTCTTTGAGTTAGGTGATGGTAAGACTAGCCTTGAATGGATTGGGACTATTCTTAGAAATTACCTAGAAGACAAAGTTCAAAGGTTTTTCTCGATTCTATGGTACCCGTGGAAGGAGCGTTGCAACCATAAGCATAAGAATCGAAAGCTGGAAGAAGATAGATAGTCCCCCGTGCTCTAGGATGGATGTCGTCGTACCTCGCTGCCTAGTCACCCTCTGATTCTCAAGTGACCATTCTTCCACCAGCAGTCCGTGCCGCAAAGAATGATCGTTGGTCCCCTCCTCCCGAGGGATTCTTCAAGTTGAACACAGACGCCGGAGTTCTTCAACAACAGGGTATCGGACTTGGATGCATCTTTAGGTACTGGCGGGGGGAGTTGGTGGGTGCTTCGGCGAAGAAGGAGAAAGGTGTGTATCGACCGATCAAAGCGGAAGCCAGAGCTATGTTGATGGGGTTGAGAGAGGCTAACCGCCGTTCGCTTGGACCCCTGATCATCGAGTCCGATTGCCAATTGTTGGTGAATCTAATGAAGAATGGAGATGAAGATTTTACTGAGTTGGGGGTTCAGTGTGAAGAACTGAAGAAGTTAGCTTCGATCAATGAATCTTTGGTTGGTGATAAGGTTAGGTGGGTTTTCTCTCCTAGAAGAACCGATTCGGTGGCTCACTGGTTAGCTCATGTGGGTTTGGGTTGGGATCAACAATGGGTGTGGGTTGATAACCCACCAATGTATCTCAGATGTTTGATTGATGATGATGTGGGCCATGGGGCTAGGAGACAAGAGTAATTTTTCAGTAATAATATAAGCCAGGCTTGATATAAAAAAAATACTCGTTTCTCAATAAAACAAAACCAGTCAAACAAAAGGGGACATGAATATTACTACTACCATTCACCATGTTTGGAGTTTCGATCTTTCAAGCTAAGTGTGAATGGAGACAGTGGTGGAGGGAGGTGGAAGGGAGTGGGATCCTAGGGGATTAATTCCACAAATATTGTTTTTTTTAAATTACCACCAATATGCTGGTTTAAAAATAATTGACACATATATTGTGTGTTTTTTAGGTTGACAGCGACCAAGCTCGAGACTCAGGCGCGACCGCTACATATTGATTTTTCAATAAAAGCCAACGGCGGCCCCCGAGACTGGGCGTTATCGCTGTTTATATGGTCTCAGGCCGGCGCCCGAGACTGAAGCATGGTCGCTGCCTCCCTCTTCCACTCCAACACCATATATACTCCACCTTTCCTTCGGTTCTTCACCACAAAAAAAAAAAATCAACGAAGTTATGAGAAAAGCTCTGGTGTTGCTGTCTGGTTGTTGGAAAGATGGCTAATAATAGGTAAGAGACATATTTATTTTTTAATGTATTCTTCAAATGCTATAATGATTTTGTTCAGTTAGTAATTAGCGAGTTTGTTTTTTATGTAGTGGTTTTAGAAGATTTGAACTAGCTGTTCGGTGAAAATCAGAGAAAGTAGAGGATAATTTGAGCGTTCATTTCGTTGGTGGTAGAAGTTTTCAGTTGACTGTTCCATCCAGGGTGAACTATCAGAAAATTTGTGATAATCTAATTCGGAGAATACGACGTAAAGACTAAGCAGTACAAGATAGTGTTGTGATTACAGGTTTCACTTACTGTCTTCCAGAATGGCAGAATGGTGTTTTAATCCATTATGCAATGCCTATTGTGGATGATGATAGCTTGAATGTGCTTTGGAATTTTATGGCACAAAACCCTTATTGTTTTGGTGCTGAGATACATGTTGAGCTTAGTGAGTATCAGGGTGGAGAGGAATAAGATGATATTGGAGTGTGCCATCTGATCATGACTATGATGACGGTGATGACGGAGAGGAGGAAGATGATGATGATGATGAGGAGGAGGAGGAGGAGGAAGTAGAACAACCTAATTATCCTCAATATTTTTAATTGCAGGGTAATAAAGAGGACGATGAATTATGTGTTGCTGATTCATATGGCGTAATTCCAATTCCTATTGTTGCTGGTTTTGATGGAGAATTTTACAAGGGGCAGATATTTCACTCCAAACAAGTTGCACAGGTGGCAATTAAACACTACGCACTACAATGCAAAATTCAGTATAACGTGGTGGAGTCATCACCTTCGATCTGGAAGATCATATGTTTGAAGCACAAGGATGACAATTGTCCT